GGGGACCCCGAGACGGGCCACATCAATGGCTAGAGACATTGTCAGAGCATGGCCAGTCGCGCCCTCTATGGCGCTCGTGCATCAAAGCTACTACCTTCAATGCATAGTTCCTTTTCCAACCCCCCCCCCACTTGACAGCCCACTGAGAGTGCTGGATTTATGCACCAACTTACCAGCAGGCGCGTGCAGTGTGCAGCTACCTATCCCCCCCAAATCATCGGTGAACGAAACTGCGGCAGCTACAGCCAGTGTACGACGAGTACGCGGTTCTTACAGCTGACAATGGTGATGATGATGAAACGTAAAGTGATTGGCGGATGATACCGGTATAACGGCGGGTACTAGTGATGGGCATGCAAGTAGTATGTAGTTTTATCGTAACCGCTTCGCGTCTAATGAAGGCTGGGGTTTATTACGGAATTTATGAAACTTTTTGGCAGCGTTCGTTTACAACTGCGTGATAGTCAATGAATATCCGGAGAAGTTGAAGTCGCTGTCAATAAGAAGAAAGATAATCAATTGTCAGAAACAAGGCGTATATGAGAGGTTTACTTTCCTGTCCAATAGTTTGTAACGCTTTAGTTGGCGTTTCGTAGTAAACAACTTCGCGGCAAAGGGCTTTCCTCCTTTCACCGGTATCTCGGTAAACGCTCAGACCAGCAACAGACGCACGACAGGCCTCTGTTCGCCCACCCAAGGGGCCCATTAGCCGCACAATGCTCATAGCTGCAAAACCTTTGGGAAGGGAGTCATCATCGTCATCATCATCATCATCGTCATCGACAGCATGACATCAGTGTTCAACACCGATGCTTCACTGCCGTGCAACCATGATTTATTTGGAAGCCTTATTGTAAAGAAAAGAGTAAAGGTGGACGGGGAAACGACTTAGTGCTAGCTTAACAAAATCATTCTGAGGTGCCTACACCTCCAGACATTCACTCAGGTATATGTACTTAAACCAAAAGCCATCTTAATCTACGGTCATATGTACGCGGCTCATTGAATTTCATTGTCCACTGAAGCAATGATACATCCGACGGAAAAAGTCTGGTGGAACACTTTCCTAGCATCGCTGAGACCCCGGGATGCCTAGATGGGGCTCAAAAGTTTCGAACTGAACTCAATTGCCTAGCTCACCAGGCACACGTCGCTACTTTCGAAAATTCAGTTTTATTGAGCGCCCTCACTCAACTATCTCATTCCGTTGAATTTACATCGGCGCCGGTGCAACGTCACTTTCCGCTTCTCGCAAACCACACAGTATCCGAATCGTAACAACTCATCTCCGAAGTAAGTTTGACGGAGTTGAGAGTTCCTAGGCCATAGTGACTACGCGGCGAATATATTAAGTGAAGTTGCCGAACGTCTTGACCGTCAAGAGAACAACTAACGGGCATAACTGGTGACATAATTAAACATCACCAACGTAGCTAGCCAAAGACTGGTCAACTTATTGTCATGTTTGTTGTGATTAGTGTGAAAGTGTCATTCCCCCTGTTCTCGGTGAACGCGACTGTAGCACCTTGATTCAGCTTACATGGGGTTCATAACTGTGTTCTGCCACCTGCGTTCGTCTAGGTGTTACGTCAAGCGCGTGCTTCGGAGCTAACCGTGAGACAGTTGTCGTGTCATGTGCGGCTTGTCCAACCTGATTCGCCCTTGCATAACAAGCTTTCTCATAAGTTACTACCTTGTCAGAAATGGCCAACGTTCTCAACACGTGGATACGTAATTCTTTCTCCAGGCATAAGCTTAACATTTCTTCCATGCCTGCGTATTATATCTACTCATACACACCACAGATTTGTTATTAAGAAAGATCGTTTCTTACACGAAAGCAATCTCGTCCTTTATGGTGATGCAGACGTGCTTCGTTGCCCTATTAGACGTTACTTGAATGTATTGTTTAAGTTGATGCATAGGCTAAGGCAAGCGGCCTTAGTGAACACATTAGCACAGAGTTACACGGGCACTCGTAAATTTGGTCTCGTGGACCATATTTGCATACCCTGTGTGGTAAAAGCATTCGGCAAATAAGTTTTTCAACCGCATACCAATATGCGATTTTGGAAAGCGATCTCACACTGTCTGTTAGGCTAATGCCGTGGCAGAGCGCTGCTCCCAGGTTGCGGGACATTTAAAATCTTCTGAAAACGCCCAATACTCTGTGCCCACACTCCATTTCATTCTGTCAACATTGGCCCAGATTCACACGTGGTAAATAGACTTTCGGATGGATTGAATTAACACTGAAACGACCAGGTCGTCACTGTTGGCGGAAGTAGATTTTTCTTCGAAATTGTCTTGAGAACCATTGTGTACAACCCTATGGAATTTTCCCACATTCCTTTTTTCCTCTCATTAGTGACAGAATCTCGTTTGCACGTATCTGGTCGTTTGGCTTCACCATTAGGTTTGCAAACAACATTCCCTTACGATCTGCTTTGCGAAGGTTGTTTTAACACGAGCAGTCCAAATTAAGATAGGTGAAAATCTCATTTCTAGTTCTTTAGGCCATCACATGTACGCACGGCTGGATTGACGGCATCTAGTGTACCATAATGTTTTATAGGTAGATTGTACAGTGTCGGAAGAAGTGGAAAAACGGGGCAACATGTCACGTAATGCTGTTATTTCAATGATTTCCTATAGAGCTGAAGAGGAAGCAATAGTATAATGCTTTTCGGTTCTTTTGACACCAAGCTTAATACAAAACTCAGGCATACAGAAACTGAAAAAAAAACTCGTGTAACCTGTCAGTGCATCTCTTGAGTGGTTCAGGTGGTAGGCGATCAAGACCAGAAGAGATTGTCAGCCTACCGGATTTGAACACACGCGTCTATCATCCTCGAGGTATCAAGACGGCGAGGTCGTTTGAGAGAAAGTTTGTAGGTCCAGTAGGGTGAGATAGAAATTCTGCATTTCAAGAATCCGAACCCCGGTATTTGTCATTCGTGCTTCTCCAACAACTACAGTTAGTAGAGCTCCACACATCTTTTGATCGTTTTAGCCTAATCAGGTAGGGCACGAAAGCCTGTGGATTGGGTCCATTCATGACAGTACTGTTCCCACTTTTGTAAGCGTACTTCTGTCTTGGAAGTTGTTTCATATGAATGGATCTAATCAACCATTTGCGAAAGAATACGTGGCCTATTGTGATAACTTGAGTGCAAACGTTTCATTGGGCTTCTGTAACTTTGGCTTGCATCAATCTATGGAACGGTGTCAGTGCATCCTTTGGAACTGCTACTCTTGTACTTGTCGGTTTAAATATGTTGATTCGGGAGGGACAACGTCCATCTCTGTGGTGACATTCCATCACTTCAACAACTGCTTGGTTGCTTACTGTTCTTTGGTTTGAGTTCTGTTAATTCACTTATTTCGCAGGAAATAATACTTTACCGGCGACCCGACCGTCGTCGTAGACCTGTAGCACAGTGCCCATCTACTGAACTGAACAATACGCTCGAAGTGAACGACGTTAGCAGCTCGATTCCCAGCGCTAAAGAAAACACGGTCCAGGAGCCAGCAAAAGATGTCTCGGATTCACTTGTAAAGCAGGTCAGTAACATGTTCATTTCCTTTGTTAAATTTTCGTCGTAATCGGTAAATTTTCCCTTAATGACTTTTGTCAAAGAACTGTTCTGATTTCAGTCTAACGAGTTAATTTTTAACACTAACACTAACTAACACTTTGATAAGTGAGAAATTGCAGAAATTGCATGATAGCTAAACTGTCTTCTGAGGGAAAAGCCAATGCATGTAGTTTTGTTTTCCATTCAGTTCACTGAATTTTCAGTAGTTTACTTTAGTCTGTATCCCGCTGATGATTTTGCACTTCAACTGTCACCAGGGCCGGTTTAATGTCATGGTTTTGTACTCAACTCCCTGTTGCAGTAATCGATCTCCCGGTGATCTATTTCCAAAAAGATGTCCGTTTATTTAATGAAAACACCCATGTATGTATGAATTTTTGAACACTGACTTTCGGGTAATTTTGGACCCTTTCAGTTCGTTAGTCAATAAAATTCGTCACCATGTTAGGGTTCTAAATCTTCCAATGACAAATTGAGGTATGTGGCGTTAGTTAGTTTGCTGTTTCTCTTGTTATGTTGGTATTATTCTACCAATTTGGATTATTCTACATACCACACAATCATCGTTGTTTTTGAATTACATTTGTTCACCTGAAAGATGCCGGATTTGACCTTCTTACGGAATGCTAGCTATCCGCGCGAAGGAATGTCATTTGTCTCGTATCATTTGTATCATTTCAAATGACAAAATCAGCAGTAGCTTCTTCTGAACAACTCAAGATATCCGTCCCAGCCATTCACTTCATTGACCTTTGAGCTAAACCGTTCCGTAGGAATTCCCTTGCATCCACCAAACGTTCCAGCTTTGTTCTCCAGCTTCTTCTTAGGAGAAACTCTTGAAGTCCTAAGTTTCTCACTCCGTTTTCTATTCTCCTTTCCACAAAATCATATCCAAGCTCATCCATACGTGTCGTTCCATTTGGATGTGAATTCGATGTTGCAGCCTCGAATAAAAGCCTCTTAGTTTTCCCAAGACGTGGTGTATCACAACTTACATCTTTTTGAGACTACTTTTGATGTGGAGCTGTCAAGTGAGAGTTTCCGAGGGGACAGTTGAACCGTATTCGGTTCGCGCTTATATATATCTGTAGCGTATATTCACTATCAGTGTGCGGACCACCCGGGATACCCGCTAAACGACGAGATTTAAACAACAGAATAATCCTCATTAGTTTGACGGGTAGTATTCTCATGCCACAGCAAATCCTCTAGGATAGGCAAAACTCACACCAGTCTTCAGGAACCCAACAAAATACTACGATGCCACTACAGTATGGGTTTCATTTCTCAGTCCTCATGTGGCTATTCGACCACGGTTTTGGTTTTGCTAAGCACAATGTGCTCTCATTGCTCATCACAGGACGGGTTGATGGATCTGTAGATTGTGCATTCATATCAGTCTCGTTTGAACAGTCTTACTCCTGTTCTGGTGCGATTGCTGTAGTGAATCCGCACCAAAGAAGGGGAGCACTGGATTCAAGGTTGGCTCTTTATGGACCTAGTCAGTAGTGCACATCCTATGCCGTGCCAGGACTTGAACTCCAGGCGAGACTGTGTTACCACTGCTCCAAAAGCGCACGCTGTAAGTACCTGAATTGTCACGTCCGAGCGGACGAACATGTTCACGCTTGAGCTATCTGACTGGCTATGCATTATCTGCGACGAAATATATTCACTTCCCCGATGTACTGTCCCATTAGGTTAAGTTGGCTGTCTGTTGCGTGTTTGAGCTTTTCATTGAACTGTTATCATCCACATTGTTTAGGATTATTTACTTCGTCCTCGCGCTTGCGAATTCAGCATTCTGTTCGTATCTGTAGGTTAGTTTATTTCTATTGCTACTGAAGTATAGTCCTAAAACCAATTCTGGATCTCCCTTATAGTGGGAATCAATCTCAGTAGAGTTGCAGTTTCCAGTATCATATGATTTTACGCGATGGAACAATCGCTTGAGAAGAAAAACAGCACGGCAATCTACTGTAGCAACGTGTACATCGTCGTATTGTTCACCTAGTTGTTTCACCCCGGAAAATAAGCGTTTTCTATTGATCGGCATTTAACACAATACCAGTTTTGCGGTCAATCAGTCACCGACTTTCTTTTATTGTCAGTCTATGACTGAGATCAACTTTTGGGAAATGATTTTTTAATCGCACATTACTGAACTGAGTTTTGGTGTTTCTGCCGTCTTCAAATTGCCTGACATTGCGTGTTTCAGGAAGGAACCATCGAGTTAATCGTTCCCGAGAATAATGAGCTTTTCACCTTGGTATGTGGTTTGATACCATCAGTTTCCAGATCTCTTTGTAGATGTAGAGGGAACCGCAGCACAAACCAATTTTCCGTTTTAATATAGATCAGCGTTGGAACTTTACCATCCTGGTCGAGCCAAGGTAGCTTTTACTTGTAATCCGGCTACTTCCAGAACTAAGCAACGCAGCATTAAGCATCACTACGTTTAGAAGAGCAAGTTCTCTAGTTAGATAACTCCCACTGACCACTCCTTCAGTTTATTTTGCTCGAACTAACCCAATACTAACAAACAGGCCTATTTTTCCCCTTATATTTCTGGTTGATATCAATTTTCACTTGAGCATGAAACCTTTTGTCCACTCCGCACCGAAAAACGGGGGAAACAGACAGAAGATCATGAGCAAAGAACCAGTTTATTGATTTGCGTAGTTTGTTTGAGCTTATAATGAATGTCTACGGTGCGAACAAATTCACTAGGCCATTTGAAACTCTTGCTGATGTTGAAATTCATGTAGTTCTGGAATCCTTTCTCAGCCTCGAATTTTTCAGTGGTACCGTCCAAGTGATGCACACGTATTCGATGTTTTGGTGAAGATCATCCAAACGTACTCTTCGACTGATCGGGCCTATTAGGAACGACGATTACGACCTTGGCAGTAGTCGTCAACTTTTAACGCGTAGTGTGGTTTGTAAGCTCTTTTGTAGCTTCCACGAAACTACATGGAGTTTGGAAACCGCGATCTCTAGGTTATTAGTTTGAATATTTAACTGTTCGGCTGGAAGCTGTGTGTAGCTAACGCGCAGCGTGGCCAACTCACACGTAGATAGGATGTGGCGCCATTCTTCCTTCAACAGCAGAGTGCATGTGACGTTTTCCTGTGTTGATTGGCTTTTGGATTGACGACTTCTTACGTGGAAGTTCCACTCGCCTGGTGAAGTAGTTTGAAACTCTGAAGTTTTGTTAGGTGTGTTTTGCTGATGGTTCTCAATGAAGATGAAACAGCTGTGCAGTGGTTCTCGGCTTTTCCACACAGATAGATTTCACATACGCGTGAGATCTCACTTGAAAATTCCCAATGCCCACACTACAAACATTTTTTTGCTATTGGCTCCAGACTCCTCTAAATAAGCAGTTCTGTCGTGTTGTGAACTACATTACATTCAATTAAAGTACGATACCTTCACCCCACAATCGTCCTCGGTATATTTTCGCTCTAAGGATCCTACGGTAAAATCTCTTATTTAATAGAAACTTACGGAATGATTTTCAGAGAACTACTCGGGCACACTAGAGGCTTGGGAGTTGTTCAGCCGCATAGACGTGTTCGATCAGCTGATTCCATTCATCTACCATGGATACTGTGCGCTGGCTATATGTGATTTTGACTCCAGAACGGATTTTTAACCAGTCCACCAGTGGTGTTATCTCAGGATGAAACAGAATGTCTGCATTCTGTAACACCCGATTTCGACATCATAGCTTTTGTGACGCAGCTGCATCATTGTCAACACTGATGCTCCGCTAAGTTGCAACCATAATTTATTTTTGATCCTTATTGTGGGGAAAAGAATTGAAATGGACGCGTAAGGGACGTACTGCTGACTTACTGACTTACTGCTGCCTGCAACCCCAAACACTCATTGAGACAATCTGAGTAGGAACTGACAACAAGAACGCCACTGACATCAGTTAGTGTCAGTTAGTGTCAATAACTTGCAGCGTTTCCAACCAGACACAGTGGGTATTACGCGGTCCCACTCTGGAAGGCGAGTCGCACCAATAGTACTCAGGCTTTTCGTAATCTCTTTCATGCCCCTCTGCCATCCCAAGGATTGGCCATCTCATTGTTTCGCCACTCTGAATGGATAACAGAAAACAGTACTTTTCGGCAAACGAGGACTAGGTATGCGCAACCCCCGGCCTAGTCAACGCATATTTTTGTGTTGGACACATCGATGGATCTCCCCATTGCACAACCGAGCACTCGCTTTCTAATTGCCTCGTTACGGATTCGCCGCCTCCAACCTACACGAGCTATGGTTCTTGGACAGTGGTTGTCGAAAACCTGACCTGTCCTCGAAATGACCAAGTCTCATAAGCATACGACAAAAGAGCCTGCACCGTAGCCTGATACATACTTCCCTGGAGACTCAGGGATACAGCACCTTGACGCCATAGGTATCTCAAATTAGCAAACACGACCCGAGGCTTACAGATTCATGCGTTAACTTCATTTGTCACACTACAGTGGGATATATTACGGCTTGCAAGATATGTAAAGCGCCCCACAATTTGGAGTATCATCCTGGATCGTAAGTGGCGCATTCAGTGACTGTATGCACCGGAGCATCGTGTTACATTTTGTGGGTGCGAAACGCATGCCAAAGGACGGGATAACTCTAGTCAGTTCAACCAAAAACGTACACCTTCTCTTCGAAGACGAGAACAATGTCGTCTGCATATTCCAGATCAATGAGGTTTTCGTCAGAGGATATTTGAACACCGTTCGTCTCATCATCTCATTGATCATGGAATGAGAGAGAGAGAGTGCATGCCCGTGATGGACACTGCTTTATATACGGAAGTTTTTGAAGAGCTGTTCGCACACGCATACGTCCGGAAGTCCGAGAATATATAGAACCTATGTTTACAAGCTTCCGGCCCGTTCCTTGTTGAGCGAGCCTCTTAGGGAGAATAGACTGATCAGCCGA